CCTGGCCATGTTCGATGAGGAGGTGAGCCTGGATGCGGCATGTGGGCTGCTGGCCTATTACATGCCAGTCTGGCACACTGTGTGCATTGGGCTCATCCCCACTGGAAGGTCTTACTGACTACACAGGGACCTCCTTCCCACACCTTATTACCAGCACCAGGATGGTTCAAGGAGATCAAGGAGACCACTTATTTCTCAGCTGAGCAAGGTGAGTGCTCATGTGCCTCATATGGGAGCCATGGTGGCTACCCCTTCCCTTACTCCAGGTATGGTTCCTCACACCACCATGCTTTTGGCCCCGTCGGACGTGAAGCAAAGAGCCCAAAGCTGGCAGAGCCTTTCCCCAGAACTCAGAGCAGGAGCTGGTACTTACACAACTGCTGGTTGTGAGCACTTGCTGCTGGTGTAGAAATAATCCTTCACATGACTCTGGGGCAGCTTTCGTAAGGTGTAGCTGAAGCAGCACACAGTTGTGTCAGCCCCAACTGGAAGAGATCAGGAAAGCCAGCATGAGTCTGTCACTCAATAAACTGCACATTCCCCGGTTGAGAGCATGGGCAACTATCCTGTTAATCAACTGTGGAGCCCTTTTCTCTTCCTGCTTCTGCAGAAAGTCAGCAAGAAATTGCTGTGAACAAAACTTACAGTCATTGCTAGGATTGCTTATTAAATGTTTTGTACTCACTTCCAAAGATAAAAATCCCTTCAGTCACCACTAGGACCACTCCTAAGCCCAGTAACAAAATCAGGGGAGATGAAACCTGAAAACTTTGATACTTACCAGCAAAACTCATCCCTAAGATAAAAGGATGCTAGAAAGGAAGACCAGTCCCAAGAAAGCAGGATAAGATATTTACACAGGTTTCCAAGCTTTGCAGCTAACTTTTTCCGGTTCTGCTTCAAAATTACTGCCAGTCAGAGCAAAAATCCACCCCGAGAGAGATGTTGTACTCACTTGGGCCAGGAGAGGCCTGAGAAAAGAGACCAGCAATGAGGACGATGGAGAGGCACACTGCAGAGATGTTCATTATGGACAGAGATGAGCTGCAAGGGCAGAGGCAGGACCAGAGCAGATTCCTCCTGTGTCTGATGTGAGGTGCTGGCTCAATCCTTGCTTTTTATAAGGACAGTGGCCAGTCCTGTCAGTCAGATTTCAAGGCAGACACTTGGAGTTTCCAAAGCATTAACAGAGGTGATGTCATGGCACCTTTGCCTCAGCAATGCTGAAAAAAAGGAAGCAGCAGGTCTAGGAAATACCAGAATAGCCTTCGTGTGAGGTGGGGTGAGTCTGAGAAAATCAGCACCCGCGTGAGGGCTGTACTGACCAAGGCAGGATATGAAACCACCCTTAAGCGGCAGATTCACACTTAGATTCACCACCACAACAGCAGTGCTCATCAAACTCATGTCAGCATCCTCCATGAAGAACCCAGAGGACCTCAACTCAGTCTCCTTTTTGAGGACTCAGGCCTTGAGGATTAAGGTGCTCAGACCCTCAAAACGGCTTGGGGACAGTGCAGGTCTAGCTAGGAGGTCCTTGCTGCCATGGTGGGTCTGAGACTTGCACAAGGTGGATGCAGCAGGGCAGTGCGGGCAGCATAGGCAGCAGGCATGCTCTGAGCTCTGCTGCCTGTGCAGGCAGCAAGGATGGCTGGCACCCTGGAGACTGGTTGCAGATCTGGGCTTGCAGTCTTGGCACCATAAGACACAAAATTCTCAATGCTGTGCTTCCAGTATGGAGCTCAGAACCTCCAAACCCCTCCTAACACACCCCAGCATCAGCCATTAAGGGGAGTGCTTGACTGGGAAGCCCATCTTGATGGTCTGACTCTACAAATGCCAACTTCTTCTAGATACATGAGGCAAATACAAGTGTCAGCATAGGTTTGGTACAAGGTGGGATGCAGAAGGCAGAGCAGGAGGTTCTTCTGTCCAGGGAGTGGAGAGGGACCAGCTCGTGTGCAAACGGGTACCCCCATCCTCTTGTGCATACTCACAGTCACAGGGCTCATGATGTGGTCCATCCAGAGCCCACCAGCACTGCCCTTGCCATGAGGCGATGGGCTCCCTGGGATACCCCAGGGAACATTTCCCCTTTTTCCACCTCTCTCTTCTCTGCAACAGGCACCAGCTCATAGCCTGTGGTTTCTCTGGGTGTTTTCATGCCTGGCTCCCAGCGACAACTGCAGTTCACGAGGCACCACATGCACCTTCTCGGGATTTCCTCATTGCCTCATAGTCCCAGTAATGCAGCAGGGCCATGCTGCTCTACTCCCACTCTCCTTCTCCCCTCCATGCCAAGTGGGTCTACATGGGGCCCTTGGAGACCTCCTTGTCTCTGGGTGTATTGGGGTTGCCTCCCCACAGTGTCCCCTTCACTGCAATGTCCCCACGGGTGGGGACCAGTACTGCAACAGAGTCTCTATGGGCTGTGCCAGGGACTCTGTCGGGGTGAGCAAGAGTCCATGGCTTTTCCAACTCATCCTCCCAGGATCCATCCTCATGGGGCTAGGCGTCGTGTCCTGGGCATCCTGAGGACTCCTGCCTTCAAAAACATGTGAAGGACCTGGAGCTGAACCAAGTGACTGACACCACAGGGTTGTCACAAACAAGTGGTGGTGGCATTTTGGGGCAGCACAGCAACATGCTAGCAGCTACTGAGGCTTTGCAAGGAACCAAATCTCAGTTGAAATTTGCCAAGGGACATCCCACTATTGGAGATAGGGAGAGGGCTTATTTATTGCTACTCCCATATTGCATATATTCCAGTATTGTAATCAGCCTATTGTTCTGGCTAATTTATGTATGTATTGCTCATGCCCCAGATCCATGTAGGGGTGCAAAGCAAGGCGCTGTGTCTCAGCCTCATCTCCTTGCTACAATAGCAATTGCATTTTGTATTGAACCTTGACCTGTTCCTGCTGCCCCAAGGCTAATCCTGGGGCTGGGACTTCTCTTTCCAAGGAGCAGTGCCTATAGAAAGTAAGATTTTACATCCCCACTGCTTGCCTCACCACCTGGCCCCCCACACTCCTGTGCTCCAACACAGAGCTCCTGGGCTGTATCATTTCCTTGTTGCTTTTGGTGGGGTGGCAGTCACTCATCTCCCCTTTCTCTGCCATCACAGACCGTCCTGCTATGGGACATGCAGGTGAACCTGTTTTGGTGTGCTCAGATCCGTTGGCAGAGAAAGGAACTGTTACTGTCTATGACAAAAGATGTCTAAACAGACATCTAAGAAACCACAGAAAGATACAGACGGTCCCCCAACCACAAGGCTGCTAGAGCTCACGCTATGTTACAACTTGTAGAGACAACCAAAACGATGACATCTGCATATCTTCCTGAAAGCGCAGGGTGGCTGTGCCACAGCCCAGCCCAGCTCCCTCTTCCCCCCACCGGACATGCCCAAGGGATGACATAATCCCATATGACCATTGCACAGCCTAGCCTGGCCCCTCACTCGGGAGGTTTGGCCCTGTGCAGGTTTTTGGAGGTGTATTCTGCAGTCCTGACCATTATGGCAGAGAAGCCAGAGTGTTGGAAAGATGCCAGACCATTCATCATGGCTCCATCATTGCTCCAGGCCAGCTCTGGAGGGTGGGTGACACTCCTCCCTATCCTACCCTGCACTCCTCCAAAGCTACCCACTGCCTCCTTTTGCTCTCTCCTGCTCACTTCAATGTGGCTCCTCAAGGAAAAGTAATGGTAAAGGCAGCAGCCAGCAGCTGGGATCCACCAGGCATTGCAGAGAAACCCGGGCAGAGATCAGGGCACCATGGGAACAGGGGAGCTGGATGCCAGATATCCTACTGCAACCCCAGACCACGTCATGGAAGGGCTGAAGGGTGGACTATGCTGGGGTTTGACCTCAGATGGAGAGAGGAGGTGCACTGGCCATTTTAGGGAGCTGCATAGGGCAAGGCATGCCACAGGAGGTTGCCCAACTCTGTGTGCACTGACCCCTGCAAGTCAGAGATATTTTTTTCTCTCTGTCCATTTACTTCCCCTCCCAACCACACATGAGCATCCAAGGAGCAACGGGCCCTCTGCCACCTTCTGCAGGAAATGTTCCTGGAGTCCTTTCATTCATCTCCATCTCAGTCATGACTCATCCACCTCCTGAGAAGCCCTGCAGTGCCTCCTCCTGCCTGCCCAAGTGCATGGCTGGGGCTCTCCTCCCTGCACTCAGCCTGGGGCAGTGTCGTGGTTTAACCCCAGCCAGCAACTCAGCCTTAACCCCCAGCCAGCAACGAAAGCATCATGCAGCCGCTTGCTCACTCCTCCACCCACCCCAGTGGGATGGGGAGGAGAACCAGGAAAAGGTAAAACCCATGGGTTGAGATAAGAACAGTTTAATAAGTGAAATAAAATAAAATATAATTAAAATAATGATTGTAATGAAAAGGGAGACAAGAGAGAGAGAGAGAGAGAGGGATAAAACCCAAGAAAGATAAGTGATGCACAATACAATTGCTCCCCACCTGCTGACCGATGCCCAGCCTGTCCCTGAGCGGTGACCAGCCCCTCCCGGCCAACTCCCCCAGTTTGTGTACTGGGCATGCCATTCTACGGTATGGAACACCCTTTGGGTAGTTGGGGTCTGCTGTCCTGGCCGTGGTCCCTCCCAACTCCTTGTGCCCCTCCTCACTGGCAGAGCATCGAGCAACAATCAGCACCTCCCAGACAATTCTCCCCAGATTATATACTGGACTGCCATTCTACGGTATGACGTATCCCTTTGGGTAGTTGGGGTCGGCTGTCCTGTCTGTGCTCCCTTCCAACTCCCAACTCCTTGTGCCCCTCCTCACTGGCAGAGCATGGGAAACTGAAAAGTCCTTGACTTAGAGAAAGCACTACCTAGCAACAACTGAAACATCAGTGTGTTATCAACATTATTCTCATACTAAATCCAAAACATAGCACTGTACCAACTACTAGGAAGGAAATTAATTCTATATTAGCCAAAACCAGGAGAGGCAGGCAGGGCTTCTGCCAGCACCAGGCAACCCTCTGGGTGTCACCTTCTGTGTCAGTGCTCATTCCCCTGGGGTCTGAACCCTGCTGTGCTGGGTGCTGCAGGGACAGTACAACTGTCACCTTGAGCCCTGGGCTCTCCCTTGGGCTCTTTGCCCTGGGCAAGGGTCCAGCGCTCTGGAGCTCTCTGTCGTGCTGCCCATGCTGGTAGCAAGGATCTGGGGAATGGGTGGCCCATTGCAAGGCCATCTCCATCTTCCTATTCAGCAGAAAGCCTCTTTTCTAGGAAATGAGTACAGGTAATGTGGGAGAAGTCTGTTTTTGATTTTGCCCCAGCCTGACTTACTCTCATTTTCTAATTTTTTTTTCTTAAGTGAAATGTATTCTGAAGTCTTATTCTCTTAAGTCAAATGTATGGGGCCAAGGAAACAGGCTATGTGTAGTATGCAGGACAAGGGTGGGGGATCACAAGCATCACGGCTGGAGGGTGCCCTGGCAAT